TTTAATCTATATATCTCTATCTATAAATCAATTTAATAATTTTGTAATGTGTTAGGAGTTTTATATGTTATCACCTTACATTTTAGCTCTAGTTTTTGGACTCGTGGTTTGAAACCATAGTCACCTAGCAGGGATTGATATCGCATTGATATCCTGACCTAGGTTTCTAGGCCAGGGCTTGGTATTAGTGTTTTGGGGGGTTTAAGCCCTAGTTTGGTCAGTTATGACATAATGTTTAGTCCTTTTTTCTGTTTTACTGCCTTTATTAATTTTTATTTCAATATTTTCCAATCTAATGTTTTTCCTAGTATAATTCAAACCCTGATTTGAGCCAGTATCCACTGATGCTTTGTCGCCAGTTCAGTCTGGTATTTGCCATATTTTGGTCTTCTAACCTTTTGATGTTGCAGTCCTGATTCAGATTAGTTATTATTTTTAGCCCTAGTATGTTTCCATCTTGTGATGTTTTGGCATAGTTGGCTAAATATCTGTTTGTTAGCCACCTTCTCTGAATTTTTTTTGGCCACTATTTCTTGTTGGTGTTGGGGCACTAGTTTTAACAGGGTTTCATCCAGTACCAGTGCTTCAGTTATAGTTCATTCCAGTATTATACATATCCCTCATTTGGTCTGATATATATGCCCTGTTTTTTGTGTCCAATCCTTTTTTCCTGTGTTTCAGATCATGATGTTGTCTTAAATTTAGTGGTCTTGGAGTTGTGCTAATAGGGGTTTCAGGGTCTTGTTTAACACTTGGTGGTGTTAAAGGTTAAATGAAATTTCTCCAGTGTTAACAACATCAACAAATGATTATGGAAATGTGGAATCTTTTTTTCTCTTAATGATGTTATTTAATGCTAAAGTTAAACAGCTTAAACGTACACAAAGCTACTCTGGCAGGATTTTCTCTTGTGTGTTAATCATTGTGATAAGGCATGTAAAAGTTTGTTCTATGCAGCACACAGCGTCACAGGAAGCGGTGCTCTCCAACTCAAATATGGCCAGCCAAATCTCCAAGCGTCCAACACGGAAAGTAATCTGACATCATCATCAAAACACACACGCACAGGACTACCAGGTCGGTTCCCACAATAACTCAGCGAGTGTTTGTCCAACTTGTTGCTCCATTTCACATAATGAAACAATAGAATGCACACGCAGTAAGTGATTCCAGTGGTTTATGGAGCAGTGCTGCGTCAATGCTGACCTCCAACTGCCCACAAAACGGAGAGAGAGAAAGAGGTAAAGGGGGGGACTACATAGAAATGTCCTCCTCTAATAATGTTTAAGTGGAAAGTATCTAAGGTCATTTAGGTAATTACAGTAATAGAGAACATTTTAACTATTGGTCTTTTCCAGACTGTGAGAATTTCTATGTCTGATGGTTACACTTGTATGTAATTATATACAGATTTATATAGAGAGGGACGTGATGCTGTCCAACAGTATAATGTGTAAGGTTTGTGTAACAGGTGAATTACTAAAGGTAGACCTGAAACACAAACGCCTAGCATTATATTTTTTATAGGTGTCACTGATCACATGGACACATAAAGTAATTTAATTTTCATGTCCCCCATAAAATGAACCACGCTAACCTCAGTGATCCTTTCACGTTTCATCTACCGCATAGGGTAAGTAGCAACCAGGTCCTGCTAATCAAAACAACTCTATAAAATCAGAAGTTTTGGCAGTTTGTAGGTGTGCAGCATTCTCAGGTGTCTTAACACATTTTCAGCATTCAGCGAAAACAAACACCTCATAGGAGCTGTCAGTGGCAATGGTGAAGGGGTGATGATTTGGGCTTGTTTTGCAGCTGCAGGGCTTGGGCACCATGCAGTCACTGAGTTGACCATGAACCAAACCAAAACCAAAGTGTTCTAGAGTCAAGTGTGAGGCCATCGGTCTGACAGCTAAACTTGGCCCATATGAGGTAATGCAACAGGTCAGTTATCCCAAGCACATCTCAAATCTACAACACAATTGCTGAAAAATCAATGAATCGAGGTGTTGCAGTGGCCCAGTCAAAGTCCAGAGCTCAAATACTGTAGTGGGACCTTGTAAAGAAGAGCGGGCCAAAATTCCTCCTCAACAATCAGAGACTGATGAAGTCCTACAGAAGCAATTACTTCAACTTACTTATAATTACTGCTAAAGGTGGTTCTACAAACAATTGAATCATGGCATGCACTTTCACAGGGCCGCACAGAGCCCTGGGAAAATATTTTTTTCACAGGACTATGTTTGACCTTTTTTCTGTTTTCGACACCAACTGGATGGATTACTGCGAAATTCGCATTCCCACTGGGATGAGATTAATTGTTGGTTATGCCCAAGATGTGATTTGTTGCCAAACAAATAGGTTATCAGCAAAATCAAGAATAATCTTCACGAATCACATGGATTTAGATGGGTGTAGCTACTGTGACGTCACTGGTTTGTGAACTCCTTGAGAAGAAAGTTTTCACTGTCATCACATCACAGTGTTGGCGTTTTCAAACTGGAACCAGCAAGCACGTTTGTTAGCTAACAACTTAAAAATCATGAGTCATTAGCCAAGACGTATATCCAGTTAATCCTGCTTTCTGACTCTTAGAATGACCAAAATGTATAAAATGGAAATAATGTTATATTAGGTATGAACCAAAATGAGTGAGCCCATCAGGAAAGTGCTTACTGCAGTCAGAGCTGAGAGCCCTTTCCCCAAAGACTTCTACAGGGTTTTTCATGCAACAGGTATCCCCCCCTGGTGGCCATTAAAAGGCATTACCTGAATTGGCTTTGCTTCTCAGAGCCAGAGGCTACATTCATCTTTTACACTATGGTGCAAATTAGCCAGATATAAGCATCACTGCTGCTTAGTAGATTTTTACTTTTGAGGTAGACTCTCACCTACTGCTACAGAAGACAAAGAAGAGTTTCTCATTAACATCAAGAAATCTTTAATGTGAACCTGGCCAGTTTCCCAGTGTGATCATCAGAGACAGATTTGATGAAAATTATATGCACAGAAACATTAATATCACCACCTTTTTCTGTCTTACCGAAGGCATGGATGAACTTTAGGCTTCAGTTCACAAGGTTAGCAGACCAGCTGCTATCTACAGCTTAATTTATTGAGTATAGTATAGTCAGTGTCGGGAAGGTTACTTTTAAAATGTATTCCATTACAGATTACAGAATACATGCCCCAAAATGTATTCTGTAATGTATTCTGAATACTTTGGATTACTTAATATATTATCATGCTGTTTACAACTATGTGAATGTACTATTGCTGTGATTTATTATTGTTACTGAAGGTCCGCGGCTCCGAAGCGTAGTAAAGGGACCTCTGACTAATACGGCGGGTTCCGAGTTGGGCTCATAGCCGAAAAATAGCTTTACTTTGTTGTCTGGGTCAACTTTGCTTGCGAGAGACAGAGAGAGGCGTTGAAAGGCTGCTCCAACGGAAATTATTGTTTCGGAGGAAAACACGAACACAGCGTACAGTCGAGTCTTAATAGCTTACTTACAACTGGGCTCCTCAGGCACTCTTCTTGGCTGCAGTGGTTATTATTATATTTACATGCTTCCAGCTCCCGTTTCTGCTCGATGACAACTCGTACTTTTCCACTCGCCTTTTTCTCCCTCCTGGCGCTCACATAACACACACATAACGTGTATGGCAGTCCATTCTCCCTGCAGCACGGACTACACTGTCCCCTGTAGCATTCTGCCTATTAGCTTAGCACAACAACAACAACAACAAAAAGGCGCTCTCTCACCCAGGAAACACGCAGAGAGAGAGCGTCACCCTGTAACCATGGCAACCATAATGCTGCCACCTGTAACAACAGAACGTAGCTGTCAAACAAAACCCAAACAGTCCTGACCCGCGACAATATGAAACAGGAAAGTACCGCAGTGTAATCCATTTAATTCAACAAAGTAACTGTATTCTGAATACCACCTTTTTAAACGGTAACTGTAACGGAATACAGTTACTCATATTTTGTATTTTAAATACGTAACGGCGGTACATGTATTCCGTTACTCCCCAACACTGAGTATAGTAGATTAGTTTTCTTCAGACCACATAATACAGAACCGTGACACAATGTAATGTTCTCATGGTAATGTAATGTGACTCAGGTCCGTTGTGGATAAGCCCGTGTTCCAAAAGTTGAATCAGTGCACAGGTTCTGTTTCCTGATCAACTCTTTTCTGGGGAAGTCACTTCACAGAGAAGCAACAGTGACACCTGCTGCCCTTCTTAAGATACACAACCATTACAAACCATTAAAAAGCTCCAAATTATTTCAATACAGTTTGCTGCTTTTGTTTTGTTTTTTATTTGTGTAAAATTTCCAAGAGCATAAGATAAATGCATCAGTTTTATTTGTTTGTTTTTTCTGTGGGAATACATATTACATATAACAAGTAATTAATGATCTAATTAACTTTAACGCATTAACAGTATAAACCTTTTTTTTTTACTGAGGATTTCAGCGGGCACCAACTCCTTGATATATTCTGAGCTCTTTTCAGAGACTTTATAAACCCTGTCTGCACGTATTTATCTTGTCAATCCAACTTTTCTTAAGCTCCTGTCTCCTGCACAATTTTCAGCCAGATGACACAGTGAGTGAACAGTGACACCTGCTGGTCAAAGTGTGAATAACTAAGAAAACATCTACAGCTGTGTGTTTACGTTCTGGGGTCCATACAGAGCATTGAGGTGGACGATCATGTTTTCAGCGGGGCTATTGCCACCTCATGTTCCTCTGGATGCACCCCTATCCAATCCCCAAAAACTCAGTTTGACACACAGAAAAGCAACAGTGTTGAGAAACCATGAGATTGAAATGCTTGGCACTTTTGCTTGAGAAAAAAACAAAGTAATTGAAAGAGTTAATACTTTGTGATTATTTCTTTTTTCTGAATCTTGTCAACATCTTTGTATACTTTGAATTTAACCTGCAGGGATGGTTGTAAAACTCACAGGGATGCACACACATCTAACAGAAACGAACCGTTTTATTCTCAAACAGTTTTTACATGAGCAATAAAATACAACACTATGTCAACATTTGGATCAGCGAGTGTGTGTGTATGTGTCAGTAACATGATCAATACACAGTGTCCCAAAGTTTTACTTCATAGAGTAAATAGAAACAATGGAGACAATTATAAACCAAACATAAACAAGGCAGAAGTGTTCAGTACATTCAGCACAGCAGGTAACAGTCGGTCCCAGTGTTCCAGCTGTAGCTTCTATAAAGGAGTGTTGACCGATTGATCATCTTGCTGGGCCAATCAAATTCACTTCTGTCTCTACCTGACCAATCAGGTGGCTCATCTTCCTCACAGTACCGCCCGCTTCCATCACAGCTCATCCTACAACATACAAACGTGTCAGACTCCAGTTCAGCGGCTGGGTTGATTTGTGCTTGAAGTTAACCGGCACTTACCTTTGGCTTATTGTGTAACCGTGGCAACAGCTGTTGTAGCCACTGTCGGACGGTGTCAGCGATCACGTTAGCGTCTCGGCTATTGATATGCTCCCCACTCTGTTCATGCTGTCAGAACACACACATACACACACATTATAATCTTTTCCACTATTAAGTCAATCCATAACTGATTCTTTCCCATCAAATCTGATGATGAAGGCTGTGCTTTTTGCTTTTCTTTTGTTTTATAAAAGTAAACTGAGCTCTTTTTTTGGTGATGAATATAAAACATTAGATTATAAACCTTGCTTTTACTTTTTTTTAAATGGTATTTGATGGACAAAATGTTAGAATGGGGAAAAATCAGGAGTTGATTCCTAATTAACAAAAATATTTGGGAGAAGACAGATTCACCAAAACAAAATAAAAACAAACATAAAAAACTGAGGCATGGAGAAAAACATGGCAAGCAACACAACTTTTACAAAATTAAAAGAGGCTACAGCCATGAAGTCTAATCCTAGAACATTCTTACTCTGAAGTGACAGTGCTAGTCACGGTGTGTGTGTGTGTGTGTGTGTGTGTGTGTGTGTGTGTGTGTGTGTGTGCTTACCCTCTTTTTTCCCAGGTATGGGTAAAATCTGACAGTTGGGTAGGCGGTGATTCCAGCTAACTGACAGGTCTGATAATGAGCCTGACAGTCAACCTTCCCTGCCCGGACCTCGCCTTTAAGCATCTGTCAATCGCACACACACAAAAAGCATGACTGCAGGACTCTTGACTACAAGAAAACCATACTTTTAAGAAACTCTTAATTTGTGCTTCGTCCCACAGTCTGTTGGAGAAGTTTACTTTCGGTTTGTCTCATCAGTCACTGCAGAAAAAAAGCAACAAGATTCATGCAGAGAAGCAAAGTTTTCACACCCGAGCTAGGACGTCAAACTCCGGGGCAAAGTGTTGACAGGGTCCGCACCAGGGGGCATAAAAGTCCAGGACCCAGTGATCCCGACCTGACAGAACCAGAGATCTGAAGGTCTCTGGAGTAAGGTCCACAGAGGCTCTGGGTAAAAAACTGTACACACAAGAGAATAACTCAACTATTAACACTGTACACGTCCCATTTCACTGGTTCTTTTACTGCAGAAAGAAAGAAAAACCCTAAAGAAATACAGAAAGACAAGAAAAGGCAACTTGCATCTCACCTCAGTGCCCATGTTCTCAGTGAATGGGCATCTCTGTGCCAACCATTATAACTCCTACAGAGACAGGCAGGCGAAAAGGAAATCAGTAATCAATAATCTAAGTAAAAAGAAGATGTAAGAAGGTAAAACAAATAATTCTGATCATCTGAGATGTTGTGATGAAACTCATATCCATATTCTCGTCTCCTGGGAATATTCATTTCCCAACATCTGAGCATGTAAAGTGAGTTACATACGTATAGCGATCTGGCTGCCGGCTGTTTCCAGGGTACAGGCGGATTTCTGGGTATGCTCTCACACTCTGGCTCTGACAGAACGACTGAAAGCGCTGACAGTCAACCGAACCGACCAGGATCTGACCTGAAAGCAGCTGGATGGAAACCAAGACGGCGTCAGGTTAGAGGCTGCTCTCTCCTTCTGATAGCTGAGTCCTGACCCTCTGTTTTCATCTGCTGATTTCTGTCACTTGCTTTAGGTTCATAAACAAAATCCCAATGTTCCTGGTTTTCTTCACAAATTCACTGTTTTGTGGAGTTGTGCAGATTCAGTCATAGGTATTAATTTTAAAACTGACATCTAAACTGAATTTCTTTCCTTTAAGGTTCATATATTTTTGGACCAGGGCACAATTTGGCTATTTTAACTGTTTAATAAATCGCATTCAAGCTTATGTTATACAATAAATATGGGTTTAAAGGAAAGAATCTCAGCTCAGTTTTTAGAAATATGCCATTAACTGTCAAGGACAGGTCATGCTGCAGAAACAAATCTATCAAAGAGAGAGCAGGAAAATTATGAATGGCAAATTGAGACCTTTGTACATTCTGAAAACAAAATACAAAAAGTGTCTACTAAGGTTCATCTAAAGCATACAACAGCAGGACAAGCTGGAGGCCGTGTCATGGCTCGAGCTTCCAGTGGCTCAGGGTTACTGAAGTTTACTGATCAGGTGACAGTAGAGTGAAGCAGCTAGATGACCTTTAAAGTTTATACAGCTCTCCTTCTGTTCTTTCAGTTTGTGTCTATGGTCTATATATGGCACATGTAAAGTGAGTTATACCCGGGCCATGCGTCTCCATTCAGGCATCAGAGCCTGACAGGGACCACACCAGGGAGCGTAGAAATCTACTGCCCAGATCTGTCCTTCATCTCGACCTGCAGCAGAGAAACAGACCACTGTGTTAGCCTCTATGGTGCTTTAAACTGAAAGATGGGAATGGGTAGTTTTCATAAAACAGCAATTGCAGCTGTCAAGTTCTTTTACAACAGTGCTGTTCAAAGTCTTTGCAGCTAGCCCTTTGTGCAAGAAGCAGTTTATTGTCACGGCCGTGGTTCAGGGGGTTAGGAAGCTCATCTTGTAACCGGAAGGCTGCCGGTTCAATCCCCAGCTCTGTCTGTCTTGGTCGTTGTGTCCTTGGGCAAGACACTTCACCTACCGCCTACTGGTGATGGGCCGATGGTGCGGCAGTCTTGCTTCTGTCAGCCTGCCCCAGTGGTTTGCCTCCACCAGTGTGTGAATGTGAGAGTGAATGAATAGTGGAATTGTAAACCACTTTGAGGGTCTCGAAAAGCGCTATATAAATGCAATCCATTATTATTGTCAGGAGCAGGTTTTACCTTTAATTTTCTCTGTGAAGCTTGAAGGATCCAAAATCAGGACAGATGGATTAACCAGGTCCTGCAGAGATAGAAAGAAGCCCTTTGTGATCTCACTGTCTTTTAAATACTCCACTTTGAGACCAAAGGCAACCAAAGGAAAAGAGCAATGAAAAAAAATGATACTATGCATCAAATGTTATTTTGTAATAATATTGACAGTGGTGATGAGCCCTTTAGCTGCAATGATTCACTGAGTAATAAAAAAAAATTGATCATAAAAAAATTCTCAACACAAACTTTGCTTCGATGCTTTGGTTAATGCACGGCTCTGTATTGCACTGATGTGTTAAACGATGTAAACGTGAGCGCTTAGCACAGGTGTGACTAAAACAAACCTTCAGAATAAATGTGTTTAGGAGCAGCGTGTGAATAAAAAGTCGGACAACATTCAGCCCACGCAGGCCTCAGTTTTAAACAAAAACACTGATAACACAACAGCAGCAATGATGATGATGCTGGCAGTTTAACGTGGACCTGGAGTCTGTTTACACACCACAAAGAGCAAAGAGACGGAGCCGTTACCGAGATACTGAGCTCAGGTAGAATGAAAGAAAAACGTTTCTAGTGACGTAAACAGCAGGGCTGTTCCTGTGATCACCAATGGTAAAAGGCATTAATCTTTAGTGGGGGAAAGCGAGCGGGAGTCCTTCATCAAAACACCCGATCATCAAACTCTGACGTAAAGAAAAGCAAAGTTTGTAGCTGCTCCGTCCACCGCCGTTTGTTTTACACAGAAAAATCTGCAGTAAATCTCCAGAGTTGTATTAAAATGTTCAGATGAACCGTTAACTTCGTCCGAACCCGTGTGCAGCTCTCTGAAGGCTGACAGCAGCCGTCCTATTTTAGATGGAAGCAATACCTGCAGTAAACAGGGATCAGTCTAAAGGGGGACATGGGGTGTAAAAAACCATATAAACGTCAAGTGCTTTCATAAAACATTTCAGATTAAAGTGAAATAATATAAAATATTGTATCAATTAAATTGCACTAATATTTAAATATATAAAAATAAAAGCTTTTTTTTACAAGCCAATAAAAATGTGTTTAATATATATATATTTGCATTTAAGAAAGCGTTTTCTTAAAAAAAATGAAATTAATATGGTATGCAAATACAGCTAAAGGGTTTAGCTGGGTTTCTTCTTTTACATGCAGTGAAACTTTAAAATATTGCAATTTCCAAAATGGAAACCAATGAGCAGTTCATTCTGAAAGACCTGTAATCTCTTTTGAGTTTTTATTATTGCTCATAAATGAAACTCAAGTATTTCTTATCCGATTACTTGATTAGATTACTGATTCATTTGAAAAAGATTACTCATTACAGCTGGAGCTGTAAATTTCTTAAAGGTACATTTCGACCAAACGGTGTACAGATGACAAAAATCCAGGCAAAGAGGAGCCATTTCAGTTGTATTTGATGTAGTACCTGTATAAACTCCAGGATGCCATCAGCTGAATGATGGCCTTCATATTCATGCACAGAAGAACCATTAAAGATCACTGTGGTGGGATAAGCCTGAATATTATACTGAAAAAAGAGAAAAGTAAATTACTAATTTGTCGGCACATTTTAGCCTTAAGCTTAAAAATCAACAATATACACGGATGTGTGTGCTTACTCTAGAACAGAGGTTGTGATGGATGGTACAGTCCAAAGTGCCAAACTTCATCTGCCCAGCTAGCTGGATTGAAGCTTTTCGCAGTTCCGGCAGTAAAGCTCGACACGGGGGGCACCACTGCAAGCAAGAGCCAAATGTTTGTGAGGTTAATAAGTAGCAACGACAATTCTTACCCAATGTTCAAATCTGAGCTAACAAGGATTTAGGCTGTCGGTGGTCGTTATCATGTCAGTAGTTTGGTTTTTAACTAGTGCTATTTACAAACTTCAGTTTTCACAAAGTGGTAATAGATTAAAACTGATTTTAAGTCCCATTTTCTCACTTTTGGTTTTTAATGTTTTTACTACGGTTGACAAAGCTTGATTAATTAGCCCTTGTTCACACAGCGGTCTCAGTGTTTCAGGGTCTTTCTTGTCTCTTACAAGCTCACAATGCTCCCAACAAAGTGGTCCATATCTGCCTCGGAGTTAGTGACTGTTTGTGTTGTAGGTGTAGCACCACCACCAGGCCTGAAGTTAAACAAGGACTCTGACTGGCTGCATCATCAGTGCCAAAAACATTTGGCGCAACCAGCAGATTACTCTTGTGCTACGTTTGGTCCCTTAGCTCATAGCTCAGTCACACTAGAATAAAAATAGTATTAAACTGTCAAACCCTGCAATTATAAGATAAATAAAAAATAACAGTGATTGCATTGAACATTGTTTGCAACTGAAGAATGCACAAATAGCTCGCCTGGTGGGAGACGTGTCTCCAAACGATCCCAGTCCAGCTCAGACTGGATGCAGTCACGTGAAGCTATATCAGGGTCAAAAGCTATTTCAAAGTGAAATTCTGATATTTTTTATATTTAAAAAATAAAAAAATACCATTTTTTTCTTTAATAATTATTTTATTTTAAATAATTTATTTGTTTTCATTAACTTCTTTTTTTGGGCTTCAAATTTATTTTTTTTCACTTTCAGACTCTTGATCCTGATTTTGTGTTGTGACAGATTTCCAAAGCTTTGCAAATAACTCCGTCTAAAAGACAATGCAATCAACGTGAGTCAATCTGGACTGATAAGAGTAACGTGCCTCATCGATTGGCTTTTATCAATGTTTTACAGTCAATTGTCACATTATCACAGCTGTGTGTAACTTCTCAATCGCATTCAGCCAAATATAACATAAATATCAACGCTTAGAAGAAAGAGAACAGTATGGATATATTTTACAATTTATTAACTGGTTGTTCCAAAGTGGTTTACACTTTGTATTTTAGTCACTGAAGCAACTTTAGGTTTAGTCTACTATAATCTCGTAATATTTAATCAACTAAAACTAAAAGATTTAGATGCAACAACTACAAACTCTTTTGTAGTGAATCAAATGTAAATAAATAAATAAAGGAAGAGTTTGTTGTTCACTTCTGAGGTCACAGCTTAATAAATCATTTTAACCACTAAAATAACCACCTACTTGAAAATCTGCCACCAAAAGATAAAGCACAACATCTTAATTGTGATTAAAGTAGTCAAATACAAACCGGAGCGAAGAAGTCGACGAGCCACGGCTCCTTTCTGTCTGAAGGAAAGTTGTCCGGCCCCAGAGTGGTGACAAAAGCTCGAACGCTGTCCCTCGCAAAACCCACAATATTGTACAACACATCTTTGCCTACACAAAACACACGAGTTAATGCAGATGAGCAAACCTTCTCTGAACGGATTATCTTAATAAGCCATTGTTCAACCAACCTTAGCAAACTGGCTCCTCAAATAATAACATGAGCCCTTTTTTGGAACTCCTCTATCCTTGTAACCTTGTAACAAACTGCTAGTTGGACAAGACGTACATGTCCTCCTCAAACATGCAGAGATATTCAAACTAATTTAAACAAATAAAATGCAAGTGGAGAGCAACATGTATGGGCTCAAAATGTGGTCATAAATATTTTGTACTTGTAAATCGGTTTTGTACTTGTAAAAAAGATTTGTGTGTGGACTTAGCCCAAAAAAACCCCTGCAAGTTACAAGTACGAATTTTCCTATTTTTCTTCCTTTAAGCTGATTGGTCAATGTCATGTCAATCACAAATTAAACAATCCAATCAGAGAACAGATGGGTTTGGCTGTCGGAGGGGC